AAAAAAGCCCCACCCGATGTCAGCTAAAAATTAACATTAAATAAAATGTGGGCCAGGCACAGAGGCTCAAGGCTGTAATCCCAGCACTTTGGGAAGCCTAGGCAGGCCGATCACCTGAGGTCAGGAGTTTGAGACCAGCCTAGCCAGGCATGGTGGCACACACCTGTATTCCCAGCTACTCGGGAGACTGAGGCAGGAGAATCGAATGAACTTGGGAGGCAGACGTTGCAGTGAGCTGAGATCATGCCACTGTGCTACAGCCTGGGGGGCAGAGTGAGACTCCATCTCAAAAATAAAATAAAATAAGACATGTATTCCTTAAAAAAATAGGGGCCAAGATGATCAAAAGACAGCCACTAAACACTTTTAAATTTTATTTTTAGTGTATTGTTTGCATACAATAAAACACACCCATTGCAAGTGTACAGTTTGATGCATTTTGGTAACTGTACAGATTTGTATACCACATACTAATCAAAATACATTTTCCTTGGCTTTTGCTCCCCTTTCCCCAGTCCGGGCTCTCATTGATCTGCTTTCTCTAATAACGGTTTTGTCTTTTCTAGAATTTCCTAAAGTGTATCAGCATTTTGTTCCTTTCTATTGTCAAATGTATTATGGGCAGAGACAGGGCCTGAAAAGGCATCAAACCCAGGCAGGGTGGGCTGTCCTCACCCGCAGATGGCCGCAGTCACGCTTTGCAGATGAACTGTGGTCACTGAAAGTGACGTGACATTATGGACAATGACAGTTGACCCTTGAGGGTTTTCCATGTACCTTCCACATGCAAGCTAAGGGCTTTACGTAAATTATAGAAATTTCCTTGAGTAACCGTCTCAATAGCCCTGGGAGGAATCACTTACGTTATCATCTAAATTGACTTAAAACAGGAATGTGAGACTCTAATTTGAAAACAAGACATGGGAGCCTATTTCATGGATTTTATGCAGCCAAAGCTGGGTTTTTTTTTTTTTTTTTTTTTTTTCTGTTTTTAACTAATTTGCCTCCCAGGAGACAGTTGAAATGTCTAGAGACACTTTGATGATTATGCCTGGCAGGACACCACTTGTGGCATCTAGGGGATCGAGATTAAGGGTACTGCTAAACATCCTCCCATGTACAAGACAGCACCCCCCGCAAAGAAGCATCCAACCCCAAATGTCAACAGTGCAGAGGCTGAGAAACCCCACTCTGCTCTCTAACCAAAATTAGACACAGAAAGTGGAGACATTCTACCAGCCTGACAATATAAATGCCTTTTGACCATTTAAAAAAAAAAAAAAACTAAGAGGAATATGTATTCGACCTAAAATAACATCTTAAGAACATTCTTCCTAATAGGCTTCTGTAAAAATAGTTCATATTTTACAGCTGTCTTGCAGCGTGGTCATAAAGGAGACCTAATCATTGTAAAAATGAAAAGAGTGCCTCAAGACGTCTGAAGTTCTGAGCAGAAGGCAGCCTGTCTTCCGTGGGCACTTCTGGATGGAGGCAGGACTGGGTTATCAGTAGGAGTGAGAACAAAGGTCAGATGAATGAGTACACAGCCCTTGTAGACTGATTAATGTGTCTTTTTTCTCCTTCTTTTGATGGAGCAAGACTGTACAGGAGCGTGAGAGTGAGGAAGGACTTTGGCAGTTATTCCTGTAGACACGATAGTTAACTCAGTTTCATGAACTCTAAGTCCTGGGCTGGAATTCACTCCTCTGCTGGAATTACCCAGACAGAAAGTGCTTATAAGAAGTAAGGTGGCAAAAAAAAAAGGAAAATGCAGGCAAAAACATGACTCATTTTGAAACTGGATCTGGTCTTCCTAGAGCCAGAGCCCCTCCCTACCGACATTGCTGAGTTGAGCAGAGTGACAGGCTCCATGTTGGACCCAGCCCCGCAGCTGGCCATAAGGAGGAGCCACGAGCAGGTGCTGGGAAGACAGCCTCGTAAATGCATGCTATGCTGACGTCTCTTTCTGTGAAGTTTTCTATGTGAGCGACATGTTCTCAAAGACTGTAACACACTAGGCCACAAGATGCCTTTTTTCCTCTGGGAACACAATGTTACTTTCGTGGTTGGCTGAGTAATGGCCCCCAAAGATGTACTCCTAGTCATAATCTGTGGATCCTATGAACATGTTACCTTTTACGACAAAAGAGACTTTGGGCAGGCGCCTGTAATCTCAGATACTCGGGAGGCTGAGGCAGGAGAATTGCTCAAACCTGGGAGGCAGAGGTTGCAGTGAGCCAAGATCGTGCCACTGCACTTCAGCCTGAGCAACACAGTGAGACTCTGTCTAGAAAAAAAAAACAGGGAGGCTTCGCAGATGGGATTAAGTGAAGAATTTTTTTGAGATGGGGAGAATATCCTGGATTAGCCAGGTGTGCCTGACATAATCACTAAGTCCTTAAAAGACAAAGGAAGAGTCAGTTAGAAGACCATGCGGTGACAGAAACAAAGGGAGGCCAGAGGTGGAAAGAGAAGATGCCGCAGTATTGCCTCTGAAGATTTAGGAAGGGGCCATGAGCCAAGGGATGCAGGAAGCCCTTAGAGGCCAGGAAAGGCAAGGGAACAGATGCTTTCCTAGAGCCTCCAGGAGCACAGCCTGGCCAACAGTGATTTTAGCCCCATAAGCCTCATCTCAGTCTTCTGACCTCCAGAACTGTAAAAGAATAGATTTGTGTTGTTTGAAGTTTCTGGCCATTTGCTACAGCAGCAACAGGAAATTATTATACCATGTTTGGGCCAGGTGCAGTGGCTCACAGGTGAGCCTGTAACCACAGCGCTTTGGGAGGCCAAGGTGGGACGATCACTTGAGGCCAGGAGTTCAAGACCAGCCTGGGCAACATGGCAAAACCCCGTCTCTACAACAAATGCAAAAATTAACCAGGCATGGTGGTGCATGCCTGTAGCCCCAGCTACTCTGGAGACTAAGGTGGGAGGATCACTTGAGCCCAGGACGCAGGGGTTGAGTGAACCAAGACTATGCCACTACACTCCAGCCTGGGCAATAGAGTGAAACCGTGTCTCAGAAATAAAATAAAAGGATACCACGTTTGAAGAACCATCAATAGGTATCTCGCTTTGTAACTTGTGATCCTTAAGTCAATATATACATTTTATATATGTATTTAGTCATCCCAGATATAGTCATAGAAGTCAATACATACATGGAATAATCACCAATCTCTACAATACATAGACAGCTTGCTCATGAAATAGCCAAGCTCTGTGCTAAGAGACAAGAAGGACATAGCGTCAATGGTAACAGTGGTAACAGCAACCAAGCTAAGTCGGAGCAATGCTTGGCATCTGAAGTCACCGTACGCATTTTCAGAGAAGTCCAACTTTTTATGATATCAGCATTCATTCTGTCTTCCAGTGTGATCCTGAAGGAAAAAAAAAAAAAACAAAATCGTGTGATGTTTAAACATGTGTTTATTATATATAGCTTACCTGTCATTTACCTGGTTTTTAGATAAAATGTTTGAATTGAGTGGTGATATTCCCGACTTAACTCTGAACCCTCTCTGTTCAGGTCTGTGAGAACGCCTGACGTCTGAAGCTTGACTTCCAAGTTTCCATAGCAACAGGAAAAAGAAAAAAAAAATCTATCCAAATCTGAAGACTGCGGTTTACAGCTATCGAACTTCACAACTAGGCCTCAATTGTTCCAGATTTTCATTTCTTTGCCGTTTCACTTAGTCTGTACTTCATCATTTTGACAGCACCTTCCTCCCTCCTTTAATTAACGGAATCTTCTGAATTTTCCCTGAATGTTTAAAGATCATGACATATGACTTGATCTTCTGGGAGCAGGAACAATGACTACTTTTTCTGGTGTGTTAACATGTCACTAGCCAGTGCTCCAGGCACCCAGCTTTGTCTGTGGGTTAGTATTGGTATATGTATGAGTATCTGTATGTATATATACACGGTATTTATAGAGGGAGACTATCCCGGAGAAGCCTCGTTTTGATGCTGTTCTTCCTTGCCAGGTTAAGCAAGGCGGGGTGGAAACTAAGACAACTGAACCCTCCAGGGTCTCCGCATCAAGGGCAGCCGGAGGACAAACCACAGAGCTGTCACTTTTGCTCTGAAGCTACTTCTCCGCTGTCCCGTTCAGTCTGAATGCTGCCACGGCCAGCCAGGCAGGTCCACAGAGAGGGAGAGCAGAGAAAGAAGTCCTTTCTCTTTATTGAGTTCGAGGACTACAACCAATTTTCACTGCCATCCAATGCCATGATCCTGAGCCAAGGTGGTGAGGAGCAGAGCAGGTAGTTTCACCACCAAATGCCAAGAAAAGGGCTGACGTTTTCTTTCGTGGGCATCCACCTGCATTTGTATGTGTCCCAAATCCACAGTCACGCTGATTCTTATGGGGACACAGATCATGGTAGAGAATCTCTCCCTCCTGAGTAAACATACAACTGTAAATGTCATCATGGAGGTCACACATGCATACAAAGAGGTCTACAGGTACCATCTTGTATACACATATATACCCACATGTACAGACATACATTTATGCACATTCACTCTGTTTCATATATACAGGCATCAAATAGAGTAAATGCAGGTAGTTTTAAAAGTACCCTTTTGTGTGAATTGACTACCGTTGTTTGCAAACCTGAAAATAAAAGACGTTCATTATGTATGAAAAGTAACTGATTTGTATTCTGTGAGCATGTAAAAGCGGAAAGTTAGTGCTTGTTTCTAAGATTACCTTCTTGTTGATAAACCGTAAATGAATCATCAAAGCTCACACCAAATTTTTCTATCAAACAAAAACTAGTGACAGCCTGTGGCTTTTTATTAGAGCTCGCCACGAACTAGGGTAAGGTAAGTGTCTTAGCATATTCTAATGCAGTTGCTTACTAAAGGTTTTAACCGCACACGCACACACACATGCTTTCTTATGCAATCTATGTTTGCACTGTGCTTTTCAGTTAGCCTTCTGTAGGAAGTAGAAGTCATATGTTGTCTTTGTTGTAGTGAAATTATACAGATAGAGTTTCCATATATTGTGTTTGTTTCAATAGTAAATCTTTTTGGAACATATAGAATGCAGAATTTTTTTCCATTAAAATAAATGGGTATTGGTGGTTAAAACTGCTGGACAGTAACTTTTCTCTGATTTCTATGTTGTGTCTAGTGTCGCTGATGCTGGGTCTTGTCTTAGCGCAAGTTAACATGTTTGACTGACCGTTTGGGGTCCCCCCTACATCTCTGGTAGGTGAGTGAGTCTATAAAGGCAGAAGTACCAGCTCTCAGCATGGGCAGTGGACTCATCCACCTTACGATTTGAGGGTGTCACAATCAGCCAGAAAGGTAATTGCATACTCAAAGATGAGAGGGACCATTCTCAGTTCAGTGACCACACCAAGCATAGTCACCGCCATCTGTCAACAGTCCCCAAGACCTGGGGATTCTTCTCTGGAACAAGTCCTGTTGCTGGATCAGGAGATGCCATTCCTTGAACTTGACAGGGTCATTCTCTGCAAGCACATGCCCCCGACTCAAGGGCAGGAGAATCTAAGCCTGTGCATTCACACTTTACAAGATTTCTTCTACTGGCTTTATAGGGCACTGCCACGTGCCTCCCTGGTGCACCTCGCTCCCTTCTTGCTGCAAGGCAGGGGGAGAATGTTCACCCTTGAACAAACCAAGAGCATCCTCAGCCAGTTAGGTGGCTGGTAGCCTGACGCATATGCTAATCGGCAATCAGGAAATCACCCTTCAATGTAAACTTCAGCCACCTACAGGGAGAAATACAGGAGCTGAGCGACCTTTTGCTGAAAGAAACAAATACAAGACTCCTCCTTTTCTCTCCAGCCTGTAGGCTCTCCTGCACTCTGCAAACCAAACCAGAAGCTTACCTTTGCTGAAAATCCAGAAAAAATAGGAGTAAAGTGTATACTTCATTCATAAGTAGAATATGCCTCAACTTTCCCTTATTTAAACATATTCTCTGTCCCCAAAGTTCTAATCAAGACTGGGATATTTCTGCCATGTTGTTCTAATACTTTCCAAAAAAAAAAGAAGAAAAAGAAACGAATTCTTATAGGCCAAAGCGGTAGCATTTCCTGAATCATACGATGTTTTGTTAACCTGCTGGAATATATTACATCGTTTATTGAAAACCATAGTAGAATCAAAATGTTATTTCATTATTACCTATGCATTTTATCTGAGTCCAGGTTATTAAAAAAATGAAGTCAAGTAAGAACCAGAAATTGCTTTTCCCAATTACAGATCTGAGGGTTTTATTTCCATTGAACAAGCAGTCACACCTTCACCTCTTTTTATTAATACTCAACCACCTTAGTTGATTAAAAATCACATTTTCTCCCGCATTTTACGTATGATAAATTAATTATTTTGGATAATTCGTTTTAATAAGAATATGCACATATTTTCTAATTTCACCTTCAGTACTGCCAGTCTCTCCAAATGAGCATCACTTGGGGCAGATATACCTGCTACGCCTCTTCACTGACACGAGCAACTCTACGCATCATAACGAAATAAATCCAGCCAGGTTTCATGGTAGGTAGCAAATCAGGCTTTGGCTCTAAAAGAAGATCATTAGAAATTTTGATAGCTTATCCCAGAGTTCCAGAATGTCATTTTAAACAGTCTGACAAATGTAACGGCCGTCTACCATCATACTCACAGAGTGGCTCAGATGGCATTATCAGCCAAACTAAATACATTGGGTCTTGATCTTACAATACGACAACTGAAAAATTATTAACAAGTCTATGTTTGATCCTGGGTTTGGTGCAGTTGCACGCAGGCACAAGTGCTCCAGATGATTCTGAGGAAAGGAGGCTACAATTTTCCTGGGGGGCTTTATGAACATGGTACCAAAAAGGTAATTAATAATTTCAATAGGCCCGGGCACGGTGGCTCACGCCTGTAATCCCAGCACTTTGGGAGGCTGAGGCGGGTGGATCACGAGGTCAAGAGATTGAGACCATCCTGGTCAACATGGTGAAACCCTGTCTCTACTGAAAATACAAAAAATTAGCTGGGCGTGGTGGCGCGTGCCTGTAATCCCAGCTACTCAGGAGGCTGAGGCAGAAGAATTGCTTGAACCCAGGAGGTGGAGGTTGTGGTGAGCCGAGATCGCGCCATTGCACTCCAGCCTGGGTAACAAGAGCGAAACTCCGTCTCAAAAAAAATAATAATAATAATAATTGTAATAACAGTTTATATTTATTGACTGCTTATTATGTGCCCACACTGTATAAAATCCTTATAGATAGTAACTCATTAATCCCTACAGTAGCATATTAGGCAAGAACTACTATCTCCAACTTACAGACAAAGAAGGCTGAGGCTGGGTGTGGTGGCTCACGCCTGTAATCCCAACACTTTTGGAAGCCGAGGCGGTTGAATCAAGAAGTCAAGAGATCAAGACCATCCTAGAGAACATGGTGAAACCCCGTCTCTACTAAAAATACAAAAATTCGCTGGGTGTGGTGGCATGTGCCTGTACTCCCAGCTACTCAGGAGGCTGATGCCGGAGAATCACTTGAACCTGGGAAGCAGAGGTTGCAGTGAGCCAAGATCATGCCACTGCACTCCAGCCTGGCAACAGAGCAAGACTCAGTCTCAAAAAAAAAAAAAAAAAAAAAAAGGCTGAATGGCTTGCCCAAGGTAAGTGGCCTCCAGAACCAAAACCCAGGCTATCTGGCTCCAGGGTTCATGTTCTTCCCATGACATCACAAAGCCACTCTCAACTCAGCAGCAAAACCAGACAAACTGCCTACTGCAGACCAGAGGACCCTAGTTCCAAGCCTCCATTAGCATGATGATGGCAGCTAGACCAACTTACTGTTAAGCAACAGTACCTTTTATTATGAGGTGCCACTATTAGGTACCTCGTACCAACAGTACCTTCTGTTACCGACTTTTAAGTTCCTGCTATATTTCTTCATTCTAAAAGCTTTCTGTTAAAAAAAAGTTAACATCGTTCTAAATTAATATTGAGACCCTAGAAATTTTTCCTGTACAAGATAACATCATTATTTGTCTCTTCCCTTCCATGGCTTGTTAGCAGGTACATGAGGGGCTTCTCCTAGATTAATTTGACATCTCAATTAATCAAAAGTAGCCTGGCATGGTGGCTCATGCCTGTAATCCTAGCCCTTTGGGAGGGAGAGGCAGGTGGATCACTTGAGGTCAGGAGTTCAAAACCAGCCTGGCCAAAATGGTGAAACGCCATCTCTACTAAAAAATACAAATTAGCTGTGCGTGGTGATGGGCAGCTGTAATCCCAGCTACTCAGGGGGCTGAGGCAGAAGAATTGCTTGAACCCAGGAGGCAGAGGTCACAGTGAGCCATTGTACTATAGCCTGGGCAGCAGAGTGAGACTTCATCAGAAAAAAAAAAAGGAAATTTATGAACTCCAGAGTACCCACTCCCTACCAAACCAACTGAGGGGAGAGAAAATGGGGAGAAAGTGGGGTGGGATCTCGAAGGGCTTGCACTGTGCTTAGTTATGAATTATGCAAACAGGCAAATTCTAAAGGCTCTCTAAGTAGTTTCTGACTTTATAAAGCTAGCACATTAATCTATTTATGCGTAGCTGCCTTAAACATGAATCAACAGGGTAAATCACACCAACAAGAACCCCAAGCACTCAAAAAGCCACCTACCTTTTCCATTTACCAAATACTAAAATGAATAATCTACTAATCCTGCTACATCTTTCATAAAGACTCGCCTCTTCTCTCCTTAAGTGTTGAGAATTGATACGTTTCATAGTCATCTAATGATAAAATGTTTTCTAAATTGTTCATCTAATTCAATTAACAATTATTTTACTACATCCAGTGTGTTACCCTGACTATATTTCCTATTGCTAACAGGTTAGCCCACTACTGAAAACATTCTGCAGTGGTGACTGAGTCCATAGGAAAGCATATACATGATAGAGAGACACGGTGAAAACTGGTGGGAATGGACGTGTGGATGAGGGTTTTGGATAAGAACTTCAATTACATAATTTAAAGAGTTAGTCTATAATTTGAGCAGAAATAATTTAGATACTCAGCAAATTAAGCAGAAAAACTTCGTCTGTCTCATGCTACGTTGCTGTCATCACATCTGCCGTTGGAGGGTTGCTGAGCTGGATCAGCCTCTGAACCACTCTATTTGACTTTCCACGTGCCGGCTGGTCACTAGGGAGATGGTGAAATGCTTTGGTTAGAGTAGGACTAGGGAGGTTTTCACTCTGAAGTTATGAAGAGTTGGAGAAAGAGGTTTATAGAATCACTATGAAAAGAAGTTGGAAGCTATTTTCTGCTACTTTTTAAAAAGCTTTTTCTTTAGAGAGTAATAAAGCCATTCTATACCTAACGTGTACGTGAATTCAGACTAGTAAGAGTTAAAAATAAGTCTACATTTTAAAAATCTGTGTTGTCAATGCACATGTCAACACCGTCCTGATGATGAAATTCTATCCCCCCAGATACACATTTAAAGAAAGTGTAAATGCTTTTTTTTTAAATAAACACTCAAAAGAGATTAAAAGTTAATCATGTTCAGATATTCACTCTATGGCAGATGTCCCTCCTTTGGACCCTCATTGCTGAACCGCTTACAGTTTCTGACCTGTAAACTAAACTTTGCTTTACTATGTAGTTGCAAAGAAATGTGTAACTTGTTTGTGAAATATTCAAATAAAGCTTATCTGGGATTTTTAAGTTGTGTGTTTAGTCTTAGACCATCTTTAGTACAGACTAGTCTAAACATTGTGACAGAGCAAAGGGACCATTTTTCCAATGGTGCTGTGTCATGGGTGCAACTGGCTGGGGCCGGTGTTGTGGGTGGTAAAAGAATTTACCGGCCAGGCGCTGTGGCTCATGCCTGTAATCCCAGCACTTTGGGAGGCTAAGGTGGGCAGATCACCAGAGGTTGGGAGTTTGTGACCAGCCTGGCCAACATGGTGAAAGCCTGACTCCACTAATAATACAAAAATTAGCTGGGCGTGGTGGCACATGCCTGTAATCCCAGCTACTCGGGAAGTTAAGACTGGAGAATGGCTTGAACCCGAGAGGCAGAGATTGCAGTGAGCCGTGATCGCGCCACTATACTCCAGCCTGGATGACAGAGTGAGACTCCGTCTCAAAAAAAAAAAAAAAAAAAAAAGAATTTATCTATTTGCCAAGACAGTTGTAGGTAAAGAAAGGCAGATTATTCAAGAGAAAGTACGTTGCTTCCTTGCAACGAGCAGCACAGCAGAGAAGGGGCTGTCTGGAAAGAGGCAGGGGCTAGACGGAAGTTTTACAGGGTCACGCTGGAAGACGCTACACTCGGAGAGAGGTAGTCGTGCCAGCGGCTCGTTTGTGATTAGCTGTCTCTTGGAACAGTTGTGCTCCCCTCCCTGGGCCCCCCTCCTCATTGTTGCTTACTTATCAGGACTCCACAGCAGGTTAGTCTATGATGTTTAAAAACCAAGACTAAAACCAAGTGCTTCCCGCTTACTAACTGGCTCTCTTCTTTCATAACAGTCAATCATTCCAATTTGGAAAAACAGATATGTAAATGATAGACGGATGGATGGATGGATGGAGAGATAGAGCGATAGATAAAAACAGATGTGTAAATGATAGACGGATGGATGGATGGATGGATGGATGGATGGATGGATGGAGAGATAGATAAAAACAGATATGTAAATGATAGACGGATGGATGGATGGATGGATGGAGAGATAGATAAAAACAGATATGTAAATGATAGACGGATGGATGGATGGATGGAGAGATAGAGCGATAGATAAAAACAGATGTGTAAATGATAGACGGATGGATGGATGGAGAGATAGAGCGATAGATAAAAACAGATGTGTAAATGATAGACGGATGGATGGATGGAGAGATAGAGCGATAGATAAAAACAGATGTGTAAATGATAGACGGATGGATGGATGGAGAGATAGAGCGATAGATAAAAACAGATGTGTAAATGATAGACGGATGGATGGATGGAGAGATAGAGCAATAGATAAAAACAGATATGTAAATGATAGACGGATGGATGGATGGAGAGATAGAGCGATAGATAAAAACAGATGGCAGGAAGGTTATTTAGTGAGATCATTTTTTTTTTTTTAAAGGAGGGGCCAGGTGCGGTAGCTCATGCTTGTAATCCCACCAGTTGGGGAGGCAGAGGCGGGCTGATCACCTGAGGTCAGGAGTTCAAGACCAGCCTGGCCAACATGGTGAAACCTCATCTCTACCAAAAATACAAAAATTAGCCAGGTATGGTGATGGGCACCTGTAATCCCAGCCACTCAGGAGGCTGAAGCAGGAGAACTGCTTGAACCCAGGAGGCGGAGGTTGCAGTAAACCAAGATAGTGCCACTGCACTCCAGCCTGGGTGACAGAGCAGAGCGAGACTCTGTCTCAAAAAACACAGAGGGAAGGGAATGTTAATAAGTGCTTCCTATGAGCTGGATACTTTAGATATCTATATAGATGTGTATATACACATTACCTTGTAATTATATATGTAATTTATGTGTAATACATAATTATACATCATATACGTAATTTATGTGATTCATGGGATATTGAAATAGACATTAGCTCCATTCTATAGATGAAGAAACTGAGGCTCACACAGTTAAAACTGTCTCACAGTAGGTCTTATGACTACCAGGTGGTATGCGTGTCTCCACCCTGGCACTTTTCCTGCTGTATGTTAAGGTAGCACCACCCCATTTATCACCAGGTACAAACTGTGTCATCACAAATAATACATGAAAGTGCTGAGGACTGAGCAGGTAGACAATGATGGCGGGGTGGAGCAGAGGAAACCCAAACTTGCAAATCTACTCTATAGAAAACTTTCCTTCCCCGCTGGGCTGTCTGTCTCCAGGAAACTGCTCGTTTGGGTAAATAAATAGCAAATGGATGCCTTGGCAGCCGGTCATGGAGACACTGATTTGGAAATTTGCCTCAAAAGAACATAAGAAACAGAAACCAATGCTTTAATTCAAAAGCAAGAGAATTTGAGATGTGTCAGAACAACTACTGATCACACCATTCTTCCCCAGAAAAGCAATTTCTGGTTTTCTGGTTTTTGGTTTGTTTGTTTGTTTATAAACAAGGCCTCAAAGAGACCTTTCTGTGCTTTGGTAACACAAGGCAAAATATCCACTCTTTCTAGCCAGAGCACGCTCCTGAGAGCCTAGCAACCCTGGACTTTTACACAGGAATCCAAGCCAAGAGGACTGGCACCGGGATGGTGGTACTTCTAAATTAAATCTGCCATTCTGTGTCTGTAACTAAGCCGTACCTTTGCTTGGCTGGTAACTGTCCTGCCCCAGCCCCTTCTCATGCCAGCAGGATAGCATCCTCTTCCTGAGACTTACTAGGACCTGAAGGATTGTTCCCTGAAAAACAGGGACCCCCCACCTGCAGACATTCCTCAGTCTCCTTTCTGACTTAATCCCCAGGGAGAAGTGAGTCAGTGTTGTCCTGATGCAGTCACAGTTCCTGTGCCTCCCCTTAGCAAATTATATAACCATGTGGTTTCAAAGCACACCCCGTTTCTTTACCCTTTGGCTCCCTGCCTTCTCTCAAGGCAGAATTTGTTAAACTTTAATCCCAAAAGGATATCGTCACTATTTAGCCATCTCCCTGTCTCACCTCTCAGCACCTTGACTAACTCTGCCACACTGAAATGCCACCTGTCCCATCAGCTACAACTCTGGTTTTAAACTATATAATTTTACATTTATTATTTTGGCTTAAATTTATTTTAAAAGAAGCCTGTACATGGGCTGGGCATGGTAGCTCATACCTATCCCAGCATTTGGAGAGGCCAAGGCGGGTAGATATTTTGAGCCCAAGAGCTCAAGACCAGCCTAGACAACATGACAAAACTCCATCTCTACAAAAAATACAAAGATTACAGCCAGGCATAGTGGTGCATACCTGTTCCAGGAGCCGGGGAGGTTGAGGCTACAGGGAACCGTGACTGAGCCACTGCACTCCAGCCTGGGTGACAGAGTAAGACCCTGTCTCAAAAAAAAGAAAGAAAAAGGAAACTGCACATACTACCTGAATGAAAAACCAGTATCATGTGGGATACACTAAAGCAGCAATCAAAATAAATACAATGAAAACCAAATTTAAAAAGCATAATTAACTTTTAGCTAGATACTATGTCTACTTAAGGTCTGTGTATGACACTCTCCGTATTAAAAGGGGAGACAAATAAGGATTAGGGAGGTCTCAAAGACACAGTAACATTCAGCTGAGACCCTCTGCCTGTCAGGATCACTCAAAGAGAAATGAAAATGGAATGAATCAATGTCTACCATGTGAGTCACACTTATGCAGTGCCTGTCCACACATCACCTAGAAACATTTTAGTAGAAGCGGAACAAGCAAAGTTTCTCCTGCCTTTCTAGAACCTCGCCTGTGAGCAGGAGCTCAACAAGGGCACAGGGTCAGTGGAGGTTCACCTTGGTTGAAGTGGTTCCCATTTTCTATTTATTTTTTGGGTTTTTTTTTTTTTTTTTTTGTCACTTTTATGTGCTGAAAAGAAAAAATCATTGGAAAAAAGAAAATGAATGCAGGAAGCAAGTTCCTGGAGTTGATGGAAGAGAATGGGACCAGGGCCCAGGTCTCTCTGCCTTAGACAAATGTAGATTCCCGTGAGTAAGGAAGGATGCTTCTTCCTGAAACAGAAAGGATTGTTAAGCAGTGACACTGGTGTTAATGGAGGAACCATGACTGCATGCAGGATGGAAGTTAAGGGGTTTTGATGGACCCTAACTCTATTTTCTCGACCAAAGAGAATATAAGGTCATCCTCTGAGGGTGACGCAGACAAAATCCTGGGTTTGGGGAAACTGGAAAGGTTTGGAATAGCCACTGAAGGGCCCGGGGTAGGGCAGCCCAGGCCCCTAGAAGGAAGAGGAGCCCTTTGCTGACCCTGCTGTGGCGCTGTCCATCAAGTGAAGGGGGGCTTAGCAGCAGCCTGAGGCAACCTGGGGGGAAAGCAAACCAGGGGAGCAGCTGCTGGGCCCTAGGGCTGGGCCTACAGAGCTGACGCAGGTGCACCTAGGCAAAGGACACATTCCAGTTTCTCCAAGGCCCGGCTAGGTTCATTCCATCGCTGCCCACACAAGGCAAACTCACAAAGCACCTCATTGCATGTGACCACATGGACGCACCAACACCTCCCATAGTGTCTTTTATTATTATTATTTTTTGAGACAGAGTCTTGCTCTGTTGCCCAGGCTGGAGTGCAGTGGCTCAATCTTAGGTCACTGCAACCTCCGCCTCCACGGTTCAAGCAATTCTCCTGCCTCAGCCTCCTGAGTAGCTGGATTACAGGTGCTGGCTACCATACCCAGCTAATTTTTGTATTTTTAGTAGAGATGGGGTTTTGCCACATTGGCCAGGCTGATCTTGAACTCCTGATCTCAAGTGATCCGCCTGCCTCAGCTTCCCAGCGTGCTGGGATTACAGGTGTGAGCCAGTGCACCAGGCCACCTTCCATAGTATAGATCTAAGAAAGGAGGCACGTCAAAAGAATGGCCCAGCTTGAACCAAAAAGCAATTATAAAAGTACCATAATAAGCACACGTAAAACAAAACCGTGTTGAATGGAAAAACGGGAGTTACAACATGCAATTAATCTCAGAAGAGCTTTAAAAAAATGCTAAGAGGAGGTGAGACAACTATGACACTTAAATAAAGGTTAAAAATGAGGGTTGTTCAAAACTGAAGTTTAAAGGTTAATCACCAGTGCCTTACACATAGTACATTAGTTTTGTTAATGGAACGATATTCAGTTAGGTTTGGTATGTCAGCCTCACAAGGTGAGTATGTCAGCCATGAGTTTAAATTAGTGAAGCTTCTGTGAAAAGCAGCTCTTTAAAAGACCTCGGTCTCCACACAGAGAAAGCATACTTAGTATCTGTTTAAGTGCAAAAAATAAATGAACAAATGATGTCTGCACTGAAAGAGTATCAAGTTTGTTTGCTGTTTATGTAAAGAAAATTTCCAATCGGTATTTTAAAAAACACAAAAACAAAAACAAAAACCCAAGTCTCTTGCCAGAAAAGAAAAGGAAAAACTCCAGAGTCTAGAACTAATTCATGTTCTTGAATTAACTCAACTCCCTTCACCACTCCTTCCCCCTCACTCACACCTTTGCCCCTCGCCCCACACCTCTCATTCTTCCCTACAAAGAGATCTTCCTTTCAGTGTAAAGATGCAAAACTTTTTTGTGATTGGCTGTTGTCAACTGGCATTTGGCTAGAGCTTTACCTGACTACTTGAAATAAACATATCTAAATGTTTTAATCCTCAGAAGACCATAAGACAGATCTGCCTAGAAACCCAGGGTGCAGGCACCCTGCTTTCTCTGCTGAGTGTGGGAGCCCCAGGGATTGGAGTCTAAAGTCAGAAGCTTGAGGCCCTATTTCACCTTGGCTAGTCACTAGTTATTTTTTGTTTGTTTGTTTGTTTGTTTTGAGACAGAATCTTGCTCTATTGCCAGGCTGGAGTGCAGTGACACAATCCCACTGCAACTTCCGGCTCACTGCAACTTCCGTTTTCTGGTTTCAAGCAATTCTCCTGCCTCAGCCTCCCGAGTAGCTGGGCCTACATGCACACTCCACCAATCCCAGCTAATTTTTTGTACTTGTAGTAGAGACGAGGTTTCACCGTGTTGGCCAGGATGGTGTCGATCTCTTGACCTCGTGATCTGTCCGCCTCGGCCTCCCAAAGTGCTGGGACTACAGGCATAAGCCACCATGCCTGGCCAGCTAATCACAAGTTTTTAAGGAGTTCTGAAGTTTTATGAATAGCTGGGCATGGTGGTTTGCACCTGTAATCGCAGCTACTCAGGGGGCTGAGGCAGGAGAATCACTTGAACCTAGAAGGCGGAGGTTGCAGTGAGCCGAGATCGTGCCACTGCACTCCAGCCTGGGCAGAAATGCTGTTCAACATGCTACAATGCACAGGGCACCCCTCCACTACCGACAATAAAGAATGATTTGAGTCAAATGCCAGCATTGCGGCTGTTGAGACTCTGCTCTATGCTCAAAAAACTCAGAGAAATCTAGAATAATAGAAAAAAAGGAGAAGATGTAGAATCAGGAAGTCCTGCATCTCTTACTTCCTTAATTTGATGACCTTGTTCCAGTTTCTTTCTTAATGCCTCTACATCATTTTCTCAAAACTGTAAAATTATGATAATTATATCACAGGGTCTTCTGAGGATTAAGTTAAAACCCTCAGATATGTTTATTTCAAGTAGTCAGGTAAAGCTCTAGCCAAATACCAGTTGACAACAGCCAATTACAAAAAAACTTTTGCGTCTTTACACTGAAAGGAAGATCTCTCTGTAGGGAAAGATGAGGGGTGTGGAGTGAGGGGCAAAGGTGTGAGTGAGGGGGAAGGAGTGGTGAAGGGAGTTGAGTTTTATGCCTCAAGGCCTACCGGATTCCAGGTTTGTTAGAGACACTGGTGGGTCTGACAGGGGCATTTGAACAAGAGCAACTCCATCTCGAATAGGAGCGGGGTTAAATGAGGCTGAGACCTACTGGGCTGCATTCCCAGACAGTTAAAGCATTCTAAGTTACAGGATGAGACAGGAGGTCAGCACAAGATACAGGTCATAAAGACCTTGCTGATAAAACAGCTTGCAGTGAAGAAGCCGGGCAAAACCCACCAAAACCAAGACGGCGATGTGACCTCTGGTTCACTCCCATTGGCGCCATGACAGTTTACAAATGCCACAGCAACGTCTAGAAGTTACCCCTTGTTTCGCATATCATCAAGAAATAACCATAAAAATGAGCAATCAGCAGCCCTCAGGGCTACTCTGTCTATGGAGTAGCCATTCTTTTATTTCTTTACTTTCTTAAACTTGCTTCCACTTTACACTCGCCCTCAAATCTTTCTTGCATGAGATCCAAGAATCCGGTCTCTTGGGGTCTGGATAAGGACCCTTTCCTGTAACAGGTCTAACCCCTTACAGCCTCCCCCCAGATTAACTCAGACTGGAGCTGACCCTCATGTAGCGCAGTCCTTAAATGAGATGCGTGAAAGTTTCCGGAACATGCCAGGTCTGCAGTCAAGGATTCTCTTATTCCCTTGCCAAGGGACCCAATCCTAAATACCATCTGTGGGGTTTGAACTTGAGTTTCCAACTCAGCAGTGCCCACTTCCTTCTACACCCAAACCCACACTCTAACCCTGACGCCGGAAGCCTTCCCCACTCAACAGCAGGCATCAGGTGGCGTGAAAGCAGCCAGGTATGATGGACAGCTTCCTTCTGAATCCCCTCATACGATCCTGACGGGTAAAATGAACCCACTGGGCTAAACTTCGGACGCTGCCCACCCTCATGGGGTGGGGGTGACAGGACAGGGGCCATGGGGCTTCCTGGGGGGGGCATGTTCCTTGACTTGGGGGCAGTTACAAGGGCACAGTGGGTCTTGTTGAAGGGCAAAAGCTCAGTAAATTCGTCCTGACAGTCCAAACCAAGCCAGAGCCGTCTTTCGACTGACTACAGCCTGGAAAGGAGGCCAAGACCACTCTCTACCTCCATGACTCCATCTCTGAGTGGGTTTCACTTCCCACGCCTCCAACCTCAAGCTGCGGGAGAGGCGAGCATAGAGGGAAGCGGAGCGGCTACGCAAAAGACAGCGGGGAGCGCGGGGTGGGGCCGCTCCTTGGAACAGAAGCTCGCGGCCTCGAGTCCCTTCCGGTGCGGGAGAAACTACTACTCCCATAATGCCCCGCGGTCCCGCGAGCCGCTTGTCTTGTCGCGAGAAGCAGCGGCCTGGGGCGTCTGCGCCGACAAACGGAAGTGCAGGTGACTGAGATATCACCGCCAAGCTGGGCGTCGGGGAGATGGCCGAGACTGACCCCAAGACCGTGCAGGACCTCACCTCGGTGGTAAGGGACGGCTGTGCGGGCCCGACGCCGCAGCCTTCCCGGGCGGCGCCGGGCCAGGCCCTGCCGGACAGAGGGGCGCCCACTGCGGTCGCGCGTCGCGTCTGCGGAGGCCCCGTTTCTGGAAGCGTCTGTGGCTGAGGCTCCCGGCCCCCTTGTGCCCCTGGGTGTTTTGTGCGAGACAGTCTCCCCGCGGTCGCCCCCGAGCCTGACCCCCTCCGGTATCCCCATTCACCTGCCGCGAATGCCCCCCAGGTCCCCCGCCCCTCCCCCGGGCACCCTCCCCGCCCTTCAGCTCCTCACACACCCCCGGGTGCCCCAGCCCGGCAGCAGCAACCTAGAGACCCTGAGCTTTGAGTCGCGGCGGCCTCCCCAACCCACCAGACTAATTGGACGGGTGGGAAAACGGAAGACCCGAGAAGGAAGATTCTTGCTGAAGGCGGCACAGCTGCCCAGAGGCAGAAACGGAGCTTGAAGCCGGGACCAGGGCTCCCGTCGTGATGCCAGGAGGATGTCTCAGGATCAATGTGGACCGTGTTTGTTTCGATTTTTCTTAGGTGCAGACACTGCTGCAGCAGATGCAAGATAAATTTCAGACCATGTCTGACCAGATCATTGGGAGAAATATCCTTTTTATCTGTAGTCGGCCTCCTGTGGGCCTTTGGAGGCTGTTTGACAGCAGCAGTGGGGATAAATGAGTAGTTTTCAGGCCAGCTTCAGCCAGTCACTTACAGAATTTTTTACTGAGCTTGGAGTGTACTGTTTCTGAGAAGGACTGCACCCAGGGCTCGGAGTACAGCTGAGCGAGACAGATCCCTGGCTCAAGGAGCATACGGTCCACCAATCCCTGTGGCTGGTGTGGTTGACTATGGACTGTGAACTAAGCCCTTTGTTTGTGTCCCTTTTGTGATCCTCAGCATGACCTTGTGAGTGGGTTTAGGGATTTCATCACTAGTCAAGGTCAGGACTGCAATCCGACACTGGGTAGCCATGCCCCAGAGTCTTAGACTCTTACCTGCCAGCCTATAACAGTGTCTAAAGGAAATTGGAGGACCAGTCCCCCTAAAATCGTTGTGTTTAAGGTCGTAGTCTACAGGGACCGAAGTAAAAGGGCTCAATGAGGAGATGTTGGCACGCGTTGTCTTTAACCTCACCACTCGATGATATGAGTAGTCGCATTGATGATCTGGAGAAGAACATCGCAGACCTCATGACACAGGCTGGGGTGGAAGAGCTGGAAGGTGAAAACAAGATACCTGCCACACAAAAGAGCTGAAGGTGAGGAAGGGGGCCATTTTTTTTTTTCTTCTTAAATGAGTAGAGAGAGAGAAACTGTAAGTACAATCTTGATGTAGTCAGACTTTCTGTAGATAGTTCCCAGCCATGATCCCAGCAAGCATCCCTCTATTCTTTATCCCCTGTGGACTTCATGTTTTGACATTTTTCACACCAAACTCATTCTTTACACGAATTTATTTTCCCAGTTTTTATTAGTTTTTTATTTATTAATTAGTTTTTTTATTTCTGTCACTGTCAGTTAAGACCACAGGCTTAGATTAGATAACCACTGAGTTTTTATCATTCCAGCTAATAAAGGTGTTTTTATTGGCCTATAAAGCCTGTCACTGGAAGATTTTCCATTGGTTGTTTTTTTTGTTTTCGTTTTTGTTTTCAGAAATAGCTGACAAGTCACCCACATTACCACTTTATTAAATGCCCTAAATTCTGGGGACTTTCTTGGTAACTTGACATAGGTGAACTAGATTGTGGCCACATTAAGCTTTTACTCTGGAGTTCATTTAAATTTCCACTGAATAGTTCCAGATGTCAGAGGAAAGCCTGATAATTAAAAATACCAGCCAAGTGCAGTGGCTAACGCCTGTAACCTCAACACTTTGGGAGGCCGAGGCATGTGAATCACAAGATCAGGAGTTTGAGACCACCCTACCAACATGGTGAAACCCTGTTGTTACTAAAAATACAAAAATTAGCTGGGCATGGTGGCACATGCCTGTAGTCCCAGCTACTCAGGAGGCTGAGGTAGGAGAATCGCTTGAACCTGGGAGGCGGAGGTTGCAGTGAGCCAAGATCACGCCACTGCACTCCAGCCTGGGCAACAGAGCGAGACTCTGTCTCAAAAAAACAAAAATACCACATAGCAAGTTAGGTAAATGTACAGTATCACTCAGCACAGTGCATTGTAAGCCTTTTCCTCTATGAAAAATAAACTCCCATTTCTTATGTTTCATTTATAACATTCTAATTCTCTGTAAAAATGAAGGTTACTGGGGGAGGCGGAGGTTACAGTTGACGCATTGCTGCACTCCAGCCTGGCTGACAAAGTGAGACTCTGTCTCAAAAAAAAAAAAAGGTTACTGGCTAACATAGTGAAATCCTGTCTCTACAAAAAATAAAAAATTAGCTGGGCCTGATGGTGCACACCTGTAATTCCAGCTCCTAGGGAGGCTGAGACAGGAGAATCGCTTGAACCTGGGAGATGGAGTCTGCAGTGATCATGCCATTGCACTTCAGCCTAGGCAACAAAGCAAGACTATGTTAAAAAAATAAAAGAAGGTTCCTGAGAATTTTTAGAATGCTAAGAAGAATATACAGTTTGCTGGGCCTGCTCTGGACCACATTTGAAGTTACTGTGAAATACAGATTTGGGATGTTGAAGACAGACTCTTCAATTTGCTTTTATCTTTACAATAGGTGGGGTTCATTGACTGTGTGAGTAAATCACATAACTGCTTTCTGGTTATGGTATGTCATCATCATTCTGAACCAGAGAGAATCTGGAAAAGCATCCTGCCAGTCTTAGATGCTTCTGTGGGTCTCTTTTTATATTATGTGGCAGTCAAAATTCCCATCAACCGACTGAGAATATTCCCACAAGAATTTCAGGATTGTAGACTGGCTAGGGATGGAGGTCATTCAAAGAAAAGAATGGGAGTAGGAAACTGACTGAATTTTAAAAAGTATTTCCAGTTAAATCTATTTTTGCTAAAATATTGTGCAAAGAAATAAGCTTAACACAATATGGGCATGTAAAGGGATTTTTAGTTGATAGTTCTATATGTCATTTTTATTTGTTCTCATATAATGAAAAACATGTTGATGATTTTTCTTTTTTCAACAGGTTGCTAATAATTTATACTGGAATCTGGAACACCATTTTTCCAAGCCAAGAGAAAACTGAATGGCTTTTTGCAGCTAACTACTATGTGTAGACAGGTTTTATATTATAACGTGTGCATTCTTATCACCTACTATAGAGTTAGTTTATAGAGTGATTTGCCCCCCAGTTTCTTGAACATGGTATCTTCACATGTTGGACCTTGGTCAGTTGTGCTGTTCATTATTAAACACTAAAACTTTGGCGGTTCCTGCATAAAATTGTCAAATTTTTTAGTGTATTTTTGTGAAGTCATATTTTTTTCTTGCCATTCCTTTTGTAGTAGTTGCTGTTTGGATAAAAGTTGCTGTGTAATTTTTTTCTTGGACAAATAGTAAACCCTTCTAGTCTTGGTGAAGTAAGATGTTTGTAGACTTTAGGGTTCTTTAATTCTCAGCACAAAGTGACTGTTGAGCTGACACCAAATAGTGTGTTAGCAGTGCTTTTCAGACGGCTAAAAACACCTAAAGGTGGCTTATTCAGGAACATCTGTCACTGCCCTGTTGCTAAAACTCGGAATAGAACTTAGACTGACGTCTGAGTCCCTGAGATCACATGCTGAAGTCAATGAAAAGTAACCACTGCCACTTTCCTGTGTTAGGACTTTCACAGTACAGAGAAGAACAGAATAGCTTCTGTGATGAGGAGTTTGTTAGCGTTTTGCATGAGATTCTAATACTTCAGTAGGACCCTACAATGGTTCATCTACAATGGTTACCATAAAAAAAATCTGGCAGGATTTTAAAACTCAGTCATTCCATCCTTCCTTTGAGCTACTGACTAGAAAAGAAAGAAAGAAGGAAAAGAGACCATATTAAATCCATGCTGGTTGCTTGGCTAGAGTATGATCAATGACTTGTTGTAGACTCAAGTTTTTAAGAAATACTGTTAATTACTTAAGTTGTTTCTTATCTAAATTCCTGCAGAGGAACGATGTTATTGTTGATTAAAGAAGACAGGGATGATACCTTTTAACTTCAGTTACTCAAAAACTCAGTGCCGTGAGTGCTGAGCCTCCAGCCCGATACTGATGACCTGGAAGGTGATCCGTGTGATTGTCACCACAAAGTGCATTTACATAAAAACTTGAAAAATTGAAAGACATAACTTTTTTTATATCACCAGTCTTGGTGTTTATATTGCAAATTTATAATAGTAAGAAATACTTTGTCCTATATACAGATTACATGGGGAGCATAAAGGAGTTGGATCCTTCTTTAATAAAACGAATTCACCACTGTGGTACCCAATCACAGAACCTCCTTTGATCAGGCAGGTAGGTTGTGCTGCAGGATTGAGCCCCCAGAATGCCCCGCACACGCTCTGCAGGCCTTGACCAGACCAGCTGAAACCTGCATCTCTGCTGAATGTTCTCAAGCCTTGTAAGTGGCAAATGGAAATGATATGGCCGATTGCAGTCGTAGGAGAGTTGTGACTTAGGCAGGAGTCGACCTCTTTTAAGTAATGGAACGATTTCAAAGGCAGGCTGCCCTGACCAAAAATATCTGCCATGAATAAAGGTGCCTGAAATCCTGCTATGAAGCTTCCTTTGTGTCAAAAATCTGTTTGTTTTTCATATTGGAATGCACAAATCACATTAGAGTACCAACTGCAAACTCTGGACAGATTAAGTACAGGTAGCACAAGGCAGAAAAGGAGAGGGTGTCTTGGGGGAAGTTGCCGGCTGGAAGGGGAAGCTGAGGAGCGGGAGGAGGGCTTGCCAGGACTGGCATTCCAGAATTTTCTGGAATGTGTTCTCCCACAACACTTGCCCCTGGAGATGCTCCAGGAAGGAAGGGGTTATGGTCACTTGGGTTTAGGCAACATGCTAGAACCTCATGAAGAAGTTAGCACATCAAAGGCTCTGAAAGTAGAGCAGAGAGCTCAGCTTTATCCCTCTTACCTGCTGGTTTATAAGGTCTCTCTCTTGCCCAGGCTGGAGTGCAGTGGCACAATCAAAGCTCACTAGGAGCCCAACTCCTGGGCTCAGGCAGTCCTCCCACCTTAGCCTCCCAAGTAGCTACTAGTATAGGTTCATGCCACCACACCTGGGTCTTGCTGTGTTGCCCAAGCTGGTCTGGAACTCCTAGGCTCAAGCAGTCCTCCTGCCTCAGCCTCCCAAAGTGCTGGGATTACAGGCTTAAGCCACCCCGCCTGGCCAAGGATCTTTTTTGTACCGTATGAAATATGCCTTCTCCGACTATTGTTCATTTACAGGCCAGTGAAGAGTCTCTTGAGGGCTGACAAACACAGCTGAGTATGGGGGCCCTTGCACCAAGGAAAACAGCCTTATAATTAAGTGCCCTGTCTCCCAAAGCCCACGGCCCCATAGCTTCCTCATATGGCCCCCTAGTTCATCCTGCTCTCCTTTGAGCCACAGGACTTTAAAGCATTTCAATCTTATTTTCATGTCAGTTTTTTCTTTGTTTCATCACCAGTAAAGTACACCATCGTTGGACCCAATCAGGACTAACACACGCTGTTTCAGGTAACTAAGAGTTAATTTGCCCTTGTGAGTCCTGGGAATTCTAACCCCTACTTCGCACTGTTGCTGTGGGAACATGAGTCCTCCAAACAAGGAAAAGTAAGTGGAAGCCTTGGCAAACAGATACTGCGTTCCTCTTTTGTGTTGCGTTTTGCAGATCATATATCTTGAATTAGATTAAAATGGAGGAATTTGCAGGATGTGTTCTCACCTCCAGCCCTGAAGGTTAACTGGCTATGGTGAATGGTTGTTCACGGCCAGCACAATGGAAAGCACTGACAATAAACCGCGGGACTCTGCTAAGAGTTTCGTTTGCACTATTTGGCTTAATACTCAGCCTACGCTGAGTTAGGCTTTCATATGATGAGTCCCATTTAAAGAGAAGGATCCCAAGACTGGGAGTCAGGTGCCCGAGGTCACAGCTGGTAATAGATGGCCCTGGAATTGACTCACAGCCGCACACCTGCCCTGCTCACTCACACAGCTGATCCCCTGCCTCTTCGTGTGAGCTGAGAGTTCCAAATCTCAGCTGTCCAGGCTGTCTGGAAATTATCAACCCCACTCTCACTGGATCTTGAAGTTTAATTTCAAGAGGCTAATGTAGTGTTTTCAGCTAAACATGCCCTAAAATTAATAAACACACTTCATGCGAGTTTTATATTTGGAATTTATTCAGAGCTGTTGCAAAATTGTGCTCCTGGATCAGTGTCTTTTCGGTCTCCTCATGAGAACAACTACAGAAAAACAGGTTTTCACATTGGTTTTTCATTCCTGTACCCGTCATGGTCTCCCACAAAAATTATTGCTTGGGGAGAAAAACTCCCCCTCCATGACTTACTCTTAGCCTACCATCCTTTTGGATCACTGTTTTTTTGGCTGTTTTTGGTTTTTTTTGTTTTGTTTTTAAGGCAACAGAGATTTTAAAATGGACTCGTGAAGCCGTCACCTGGAGTCTTGTATTAAATTTAAGTGTCTGATTTTAGCTGCAGCTATTTGAGAACTTTTCAATGAATGACAATGAGCAGGGAGAGAGTGGATCCCTACCCAAGAATGAAAAGAGAGGAATTGTGACTGCATACTGCATTTAACCCCACGCACTAATATGGGACTAGAAAGAGTTTGTTTCAACAAGTCAGGATGGCATCATTTATTTAAAAGAAGAAGAAAAGGCCAGCCAGGGCAGTATAGTGTAATCCCAGCACTTTGGGAGGCCAAGGCGGGTGGATCACGAGGTCAAGAGATCGAGACCATCCTGGTCAACATGGTGAAACCCTGTCTCTACTAAAAAATACAAAAAATCAGCTGGGCACGGTGGCACATGCCTGTAATCCCAGCTACTCAGGAGGCTGAGGCAGGAGAATTGCCTGAACCCAGGAGGCGGAGGTTGCGGTGAGCCGAGATCGCGCCATTGCACTCCAGCCTGGGTAACAAGAGCGAAACTCTGTCTCAAAAAAAAAAAGAAAAATTCAGCTGGGTGTGGTGGCAAACCCCTGTGCTCCCAGCTACTCAGGAGGCTGAGGCGGGAGGATCACTTGAACTCAAGAGGCAGAGGTTGCAGTGAGCCGAGATCTTGCCACTGCACTCCAGCCTGGGTGACAGAGCAAGACTCTGTCTCAAAAAATAGAAAAAAAAAATCAAAGACCAAGACGCTAGATTTGTTCCACCTGGGTGCATCCAGCCGGAGAATGTCTTTCTTCTTTCCTTTTGTCCCATAAGAGTGAAGAAGGGGCCAGGCACGGTGGCTCACGCCTGTAATACCAGGAATTTGGGAGGCCGAGGCGGGCAGATCACGAGGTTAAGAGGTCGAGACCATCCTGACCAACATGGTAAAACCCTGTCTCTACTAAAAAATACAAAGTTAGCCGGGCTTGGTAGTGTGCACCTGTAGTCCCAGCTACTCGGGAGGCTGAGGCAGAAGAATCACTTGAACCGTGAGGCAGAGGTTGCAGTGAGTTGAGATTGCACCACTGCACTCCAGCCTGGTGTCAGAGCGAGACTCCATCTCAAAAAAAAAAAAAGAAAAAGACAGCCTGTGCCTTAAATGATCCTGGCATACAGGACCTGCATGATAGGGTAAGCTGTGTGGTTCTTGCTTTTTTGGTTGTCACAACTCAGGTTGGGATGCTATTTGCATCAAGAGGGTAGAACCAGAGATGCTGCTTCAACACCTTACTGTGCACAGGACAACCGTCACCCCAAAGAATGGCGCAGCCCCAAGTGTCAACAGTGCTGCAGTTGAGGCATCCCAGCTTAACCCATTCATGAGACCACCTGGGCCTAGTGTAAGGGCTCTGCTGATAGCTTCTGGACCCTCAGAAGTGGAGACATACAAGAATAAAACCAGGGTTGTAGCAGAAAGGAAATCAGAATGGCTACTGGGTAGACAACCTGCAGTGTTTGCTACAGACCTTCCAGACATAGCTTCTGGATTATAAACACTGGGAACACGGGTTAAATCCAGAATTAGCTGGCTCTCGACGTTGGTGGCACCTTAGAATCACCTGAGGAGCATTTCAAAGGCCCGATATGACGGCACCACAGGTGCCTCTCATCTGAATTCCTGTGGGCAGGGCCAGTCAGCAACGTTGGTTTTAGACCCCAGTGTGCAGCCAAGGTCCCGAGAACCGCATTCAAGAAGGCCTGCCTACTGTGGACCGTCTGATGATGTAATTCACCAAGTTCCATGGGGTTCCACCAAGCCTGTGTCAACCCAGCTGACACTTGCAACTTGGACAATCAGGGCTTTGGCCCGGGATACCTGGCATTCAATTCAATCCATGTGTCACGCATGCTTCAACAATTCGATTGTGTCCCAACTGTTTGAATCAAAGGATTTCCAGTTCCCTGACAGGTGATGACTTGGTAACTGGATTCAGCTTCAGGTCTGCCTGACATTTTCCCTGCTGGTCCTGTGCCAGCTACGGCACTAGGTGCTTTCACCTGTATCATCTCATTTACTGCTCAGAAGCTCTCCAAAGTTGTTGACATTATCGAAAAGTTTTCCAGCTGGAATTCATCTCCCTCTAATCAGCCTTCAAAAACTCCATTTGTAAACCATTGCTGTAGTTCTATTACCTCTTATCTTGGTCTTTACGAGTTGCTGTCAAAACCCAGTAAGTGTTTGCCCAAAGAAACTTTAAATATTCAGTATCTTAAAGGCCTTTTAGGCAGAATATCCAGTTAATTTTGATGGGCTATGAATAATCATAAGAGCCATTTCTGGAAATTTTTATAATATGGCTATTTTTTTTCTTTTTTTTGAGACAGAGTCTTGCTCTGTCACCCAGGCTGGAGTGCAGTGCAGGGTTCAAGCGATTCTTCTGCCTCAGCCTCCTGCGTAGCCGGACTACCACCACGCCCCGCTACTTTTTGTATTTTTTTTTTGTTTGTTTTTTGAGACGGAGTTTCACTCTTGTTACCCAGGCTGGAGTGCAATGGTGCGATCTCGGCTCACCGCAACCTCCGCCTCCTGGGTTCAGGCAATTCTCCTGCCTCAGCCTCCTGAGTAGCTGGGATTACAGGCACGCGCCACCGTGTCCAGCTATTTGTATTTTTAGTAGAGACGGGGTTTCACCATGTTGACCAGGATGGTCTCGATCTCTTGACCTCGTGATCCACCCGCCTCGGCCTCCCAAAGTGCTGGGATTACAGGCATGAGCCACCGCGCCCGGCCTACTTTTTGTATTTTTAATAGAGATGGGTTTCACCACATTGGCCAGGCTTAATCCTGACCTCGTGATCCACCCACCTCGGCCTCCCAAAGTGCTGGGATTACAGGTGTGAGCCACTGCACAGGGCCGGCTGCTTCTTTTAAGAATGCGTTCTCCTGAAAACATAAGACCATTTGACTTATTCTGCTCTAAAATCTTAATGAGGCAAAGGACTGGACCAAATTCTTCATGGAACAGAAGCCCAGGACCGGTAAGTCCAGGAAATGCTGCAAAACAATATCCTCAAAAGAAATCGGCCTTTCCCCTTGGTAGGCATCTCTCCTGTGGGCCAGGCTCAGATGCCCCTCAGTTAGAACCTGTGCTCACTGGGGCCATAATTAAGAATC